TTCAAGCTTCTGAAAGTTCTTTAAATATGAAATTATTGTCACGGTCTTGGTTCTGTTAAGTTTTCTTTTGAGTTTTGAGTTTCACTTTGATCCATGTTTTTCTTAGTTTTCTAGTTTTATTGGTTTTATTCCTATTTCGTTGTGTTTTCTGTGTATATTTGAGTTATTAGTTTTTCTTGCTTGGCCTCTGTTTCTCTCTTGTGTTGGCCTCCTTTTCCCCAGCTCCTTCTAGACTCCTCTGTGCACACCTGCTCCCAATCAGCTCATCAGTCCTATCTTTGTTCAGTCTCGCATATATACTCTCCCTGTGCAGTTCCTCAGTGCTGGTTCCTCTTCTTTTCCTGGTTCCCAACGTGAGTTTTTCCCAAAAAGTTGTCTGGTTTTTGGTTCCATGTATTTTGTTCTTTGGTTTTTGGATTTTTGCCTCAGTTATTCAATTAATCCTCAAGAACTCACCTCTGCCTCCTCGCCTGCATTTGGGTCCTCAAAACCTCAACCAAACCCTGACGGTTATACCATCCTGTTCAATAAATGATCAGTGTTTTTAATTCAGAGTAATTTACATCTGAATGTGCTTTACTGGAGGCATCCATGTTTGTCAAAGAACACTACTGCCACCTACTGGTTTGTGACGTCACGGTGCGGTATCGGCTGTTGATCAAGTCCCATTGCTGTATCTGGTGTTTGTCACAACGCGCTATTATCCAAGTCATCTTGAAAACATTCTTCTTCCAAATGTTGGCTACATATTACGGGTTTTTTCTCTGGCCAGAAGTTCGATGGCAAATCCTCCCTCTTCAAGTTGGCGATCCAACGACCAACCCGTCCGTGGAGGATCAGGAATCAGAAAGGTGAAATTACTCTTTTTTTCACTTTTACCCGATGTATTCCAGCACCCAGCTGCCATGCACGTGGGCATTGTCAGTTTCACTATAGCTCTGGTGAATTTCAATGGTGAAGTCCTCTGGAAATCTTCAATAATTGTTGTTGATTGCAGATGTGTCTAGTAGTTCCCATTGATTTAGCTTGTAAAGCGGGGAGAATGGCGCTAGGCTTACCGCACCGTGACGTCACTGCTGGAAGATGGCAGGAGGGAGGGGCTACTATATTTGGACAAAAATGGCCGCTCCCACAAGTTATTGTTTTTATACTTTTACTGATTAACATCAAATTCATTAAATCACGGCAAACATAATAGTTTTAGGTATAAATAACGATCCAGTGATCATTCCCTGCTGACTGGACTTCTCCTTTAAAGAGTTAACGTCTTTACTGTCAGAAATAGAAGCCGCCATCAACTCAAGAACCCTCACCTTTGTGTAGTGGTTTAAAAAAGTTTCTCTCTCTCCTGATTGGAAAGAGGCTCAGTTCATTACCTTTCAAAGCCTTTCTGAACAGCAGGCCAGACAACAAATGCAAATAAAGAGCAACTGACCAGAAGGTGGAAATACTGGCTTAGACTGGTAGATCAATTCTGGAACAGATGGGGGGGCGGGGGAGGGCCTCAGGTCACCTCACAGACCCAACAACCTATGCTGCTTAAAACTGGAGATTTGGTTGTAATTGGAGATGATAAAATGCTGCGTTTAACATGGAAAACAGGATTTATCAGCAAAGCGTTCCCAGGAACAGATGGATTGGTCAGATCCTGCATATATACACATACATATATATATATATATATATATACATATACACATACATATATATATATATATATATATATATATATATATATATATATATATATATGTATGTATATATATATATAGAATCTGTAAAAAGAAAATTAATTAATCCTAAAATTCAAATAAAATCTGAAAACAAAAGCAGATGGCATCAAAATTTCTGATTAAAACTATTTTCAAATCAAATATTCATTACTTGTTTGCATTTTCTTTAACAAAATGTTTTCATGCAATTAAACCAGATTCACTTCATTGATAAGCTGAAAATGTTCGGCTGGTTCATCCTTACTAGCGAGACAGAAGACACATTAAGCATCATTTTATACATTTATAGGTTAAAACATTTTTTTATAGATGAAAGTAGATTATTTGTCGTGTGATGTATTTTCATCATGCTTTCCTGACCATTTATATGGATCAATTACAACCTAGTTTACATTGAAATGACATAATTAGCATGGGCTACAATCTGTGCATCTAACTAACACATTGTTTTTAATGAGTGACAACTTTGGTACGACTAATGCAAAAATAGTGCAGTAGATATTCAAGATGTCTATGCTCTAAAAAAAAAAATAGTTTTCAAACCTTTTTTAACGTTTCAAAACTGTAATTTCTCATGTCATGAATATCATAAATAGGGTTTGCCGTGCTAGTAAAAGTAGTATTTGTGAAAGTTTGAATATTTTGTTTCATTATCGGATGTCTGTGCTCTTATGAGAGAGCCCACGAATACGGTTTAGTTAAGTTTTACGAACAAAAGAAATACTTTGAATAATACTCTTATTTAGACAAAGAAAAAATGACTGCATGTTTATATGGGAAATCAAAGGATTTCTGACATTTTGCAACCGTCCCAGGGATGTGGTTAGTTGCAGCAGTTGATTTTTTGAATTCAGTTTTTTTAAAATATGTCTCATGTAATCATAATTAAACATTATGAGTTTTTAGCAAGCATAAAATATAGTATAATCATGAAGTAAATAGTTGGTGGCCCAGTTGTCTCAGAGTAGTGGAGAGAAAAGAAAAAAGTGCTGCAGACGCCCATAGACTTCCTCACATTGTTTATTGTTTCACTATTTTTTTTTTATAGACTTTTATGTTTTTTTTTAGGTTTATAAATGCTACATGTTGTTATCTAAAAAAAAGTGAAAAAAAAAATACTTACTTCATAAATGTTTTATGGCCATGAAAATGCTTCAGTGTTATTCTATGGGTCAATTGGCACAAGTTGGAGAGGTTTGAAGACGCTGGTGACACCAAAAGTTCAAAACCCCACAGCTCTGGAACTGTTGGAGCTAGAGAGCTGAAATTTTCTGCATTTATGGTTGACATGATGTAGAACAAATGTAATACAATTAGACAAGTCTTTTCTCAAGCATGTCTTTATTACTGCTGTTGAAACAAGACCTATTATTTTCGAGAAGGAAAAAAACACCAACTTTGAGTCATGTTTGAACTGATGCAGTTTAGGCTGTGTTTTACTCACCCAATTCACCAATTGTAATTTATATTTTCAGAAACTAGAAGGTGTTCATGATCAAATGATGTATCATACATGTAATTTGGGCTTACAGTTCCCCAGTTATTTGCTTTTCCATTTTCCTACTTTGAAAGCACTACTTGGCATTCAAGCCTCCTGTGATGCTTATTCTGATCCCAACAAACACAACAGGACAAGGAGAATGTTCTGAATAAGCTGAAAGCCTGAACTTTGACACAAAGGCAAAGCCACTGAGACATGGCTATCTATCTAACCTGTCCAGACTGGTAAAGCATTACTCCATTTATAACTCCATAATTCCAGCAGCCAACGCCTGTAGCCAGAGGTACAATGGAGCAGATTAGATCAAAGTATTTTTACCAGTTAGAAAGGCTCAAAGTCCAGACGCAAACCCAACTATATTGTTTGAAAGAATCTAATTTCATTTAGGTTGAGTTATTCTTAAAGGAGAACTTTCCAGAGTTTCAGTAATAAGCAATATATTGGACCTTGAGTCTGTAATAATAATAAAATCAAAAATAATGTCATACCTTCATTCAAAACTTTAATAAATGTGTCTGTTATATGACAGAATGCAAAAATACAACAAATAAAAAGGATGTGAATAGTTTTGCTGAAGCAAAGATTCAAACCTATTTTAAACCACATACATTGCTTTAGTGCAGGGAGGAAGATGTTTTTCCTTTTGTATAGCTCCACCTGCTGTCCACTTTATACACACAGACTAGACTTAGACAACTTTTATTGTCATTTTCTATAAACAGAGTTTTTTTTTTCTTCTCAGAATTCTGACTTTTTTCTCAGAATTCTGACTTTAATCTCAGAATTCTGAGATTAAAGTCAGAATTCTGAGATTAAAGTCAGAATTCTGAGAAAAAAGTCAGAATTCTGAGATTAAAGTCAGAATTCTGAGAAAAAAGTCAGAATCCTGACTTTTTTCCCATGTTAAACTGAAATAAAATTTAAAAATTAGTTAACTTTTTCGTTTTTCCAGTGGCCCTAATCCTCTTCCGTATAGTCGTGTTTGCAATAAATAACTGAATAAATCTGAGACTTGGATCAGAGATGTTCTTCACTTCAGTAGGTTCCAGAAAATTATATTTAGCTTACAGGGGTCTACGAGCGTCTTAAAGGTATGGCGGCCCTTTTCTGATTATATTCAGACTTTGCCCTGTCTATTCCTTCCTGAGCTGGCTGAAATTATTATTTATATATTAATTTTTTCCCCGTTGATGTTTGTTTTGTTAATTTATAAATTTGGATACCTGGTTTTGTTTTGTTTTTGTATGCTATTCTTGTTGGTTACATCATTTTTTAAACATTTTTCTGAATTATTCTTGAGATTTTATTCCATATGTGGTTGTGTGTAAGTACATTTATACCATATTTCACAGGCCACCATTAATTATTACCATTATTGAATAATTATTACCATTATTTAATAATTATTACCATTATTGAATAATTATTACCATTATTGTGAAAACGCTTTACAGTACAGTATTAAATTTTTTATCTTTTAACTCTTCACTATTATGTTATACTTTTATACTCATTTATACTGTTATATTTTTGTAATTTCATATTTGTGTGACATTTTTTCTATAAAATTTCCCCTTTGTAGGACAATAAAGGGATCTTCTATTCTATTCTATTTTGTTCGGGGGAAGTGGGGGAGAAAAAATGAACATTGTACTATATTTTGACTCTTTTTTGACATTGTTTATTTTGTGAAAAGTTCAATAAAAAAATTTCTTTGAATACATCTAATTTGTCCTCCTTGCCTCGCCGTAGTTTGTGCGTCACGTGAGGAGAGCAGGTTATAAATAGAGGTATTTCTGCCGGTTGTTTTCTTTGAGCAAGGGGAAGAGCAAGAAGCAAGATGGCGTCTACGAGTCGGTGGGTAACCGCTTTCACTAACTCTTTAGGTTTTATTAAACGCCTTTAAAACGTATTTTAGGGAATATATAAATCTTTAGCTCCTGTTTAGTAGCAAACTGCTGGTTTGAATCAATAAAACGATCTTCTTTATGGCTTTGGATTTGTTGAGTCTATTGTGTTTGATGACAGCTAGTTAGCTCGCGCACTCGTCATCAGATGCTGCCAGAAGTCGTTGTTGTTTTCTGTGTTTTTCACTTTACGGCTGGTTTTAGGCGGATTAATAAAGTAATATGAGGATAAAAGTTTCAGTCCGACTGTTTGTAAACGTTAAAATGGAGGATATTTAAAACGTTGCATAGCAACTAAACACTTAGTGTTCTATGAGCAGCTAATATTATCTAACTGCTAAAAATTATTCAAGTAAGATTCTCGATTCTTTATCTCGCTGTTCTAAACTACATAAACTAGCCACCTATATACTAACTAGTCTCCAATGATCCAAACCAAGCTTGACCTTTGCTGCATTAACATGTTTCTATCTAATAATAAATGCAGCTTAGCATCTCCAGCTTTTATTAGATTTAAGAAACACTAAAATAAATCAAGAATAAAAATGTGAAAGTAAGTTTTACACTATTAGACTCAGCAGAGGAAAAAAAATGTGGAATCTGAGGGAATTCTGAGGGAAAAAAGGAAGAAAAACAAAAGAACCTCCTCTGGCTTTTCTAACAGCTTTCAGGCTCTGATGGACTTCATGACAAACTGGACTCTTCAACTTCCTCTGATTGTTGTTTCCAGATCTGGAACAAACGATTATTTTACAAATCAATTCATCTGTTGATAATTTTTTCGATTTATAATCGGATAGCCTTTAACAGAGTATTAGGGCTAGGCTAGGGATTTATTTAGAGAATAAAGTCGGAATAGTAAAAGTACTAATAAAAGTACTAATCAATGCAGCTGAGCATCACTGGGTCCAGTTCTTCTAATGAGGATATTAGATCATTTTTAACTAAACTTATTAGGTTAAATTTGTCTTCTGTTTAACCCTTTATAGGTGACTCCATGAAACCTTGATACTTTAAAAATCTAAATTTCCAGCCAATAGTGTTATTGGAATCCAGGACAAAACCTTATTACCTTTGTAAAATTATAAGAATATGGATATTTGATGGCAAAAATGAATGTCAATATAATAACTTGCCCGAATATATTAAGAAAAATAACAAAGGTTACTCTATAAGAAATTCATGAAGAACACTTTTTTTTTTTTTTTTGTCGAACATAAACATGGAGGCATTAATGCTGATACTGGCACTTTTTTTTAGTTTATAAACCTAAATATAACTGTTATTTAGGCTTATTAACTTTTTAAGTTTACTTTTTAACTTTTCAATTAGCTTTTTTGTCCTGTTTTCTTGACGTGTTAACTGTTTTTTGTTTTGTTTTTTTCAACTTAACAGTAGGTAATATATCATTCAAGGGCTCATCTGATTGGTCAAATGCCAAAATAAGTAATAAAAAGTAATTTTCCTCTGGGATTATTTAAGTATTTCTGATTCTGATAAGATGTGCATCCATGTAGCAGGATCTTTGCTGAATGGATGGATATAGATCTTGTGCTTCTAGACCTCACTGAGGGATCAAAAATGGTAACTTGCCCTTTAAAGAGTGAAACGGGAAGTGAGAGTGAGAATGCAAAATACAGAGTGAGAACTGAACTTTTCTATCTGATAATAGGATCAACAAGTTGGTTAAGGCCAAACTAACACTGATTTAGTTCTGTCCTCATAAAACAGGCTGCATAAATCAACCCTTGCTGCCTGATTTACTACTGTTTGCTGCCAGGCGATGCTCACTGATGCACCGATGAAATTATTTAAGTGAGGCTCCCTTATCATAATAATAATTGAACTCTATTAATCTCGCATTGGAGAAATTCGCTCTCTGCATTTAACCCCTCCCCTTGGGGAGCAGTGGGCTGCCACTGTGTGGCCCCCGGGGAGCAGTGTGGGGTTTAAGGGTTTTACTCAGGAACCCAGAGACGTTCTGTCAGATCAGCATACCAGCAGTCAATACGCAAGGCGTCAGATTTGCGTTTATCCCTTTAGTTTTTGTACGAAAAATAGACTTTCAATATAATCAATCAATATAAATTTGATTGATATAATCCAGTAATTGATAAGCAGCAATAAAAAAAAAAACCCTCAGTTTTCATTGCATTGAGGATCTTTTCATGACATAAAGCATTAGGTATGCTACGTTTAGAAAAAACAGTAATGAGTTATATTTTTATTGTTCCAGCTGTATAAAACGCTGACTGAATAAACTAAAACATCTTTTGTTAGACATTATTAAACTTATGAGATGTAAAAAAAAAACATGGAATCCCTTTGTTGTTCTATCAGACTTTTTAGCCCCATTTCCACTCTATGAAACCGTGCCGAGATCTGTCCGAGCACGGTAACCATGGTAAGTGATGAGTGTAAACGGCAGAACTGAACCAGACCGAGCTAACATGGTACTAGTTCATCAGTAGGGCTCGGCACTGTTCGGTTCTGGCTTGGTTCTCAGATAACAAAGAGCGCATTGAGCAGACGGCGTCATTTGCTTACAGTCAGCCCCCAGAAGCAGGAAATTCAGACATTTATAAAAATCCCAGCTTCCCTACCGCGCCGCACGATTCCAGTGATGATTCTGCTTAGCAGTGGGATCTGTCGTTGTTTCCTGCGTCTGGAAGCTCTGATTAGACCGTTCTTCGTTTTTCGTATCCTCTTCCCAAAAGCTGACTGTCAAGTTAAAGGGGAACACCTTTTTTTTACATTGGGCCCTTGATTTTAGGTTATTCCATCATGTTCTACTCACCCATATGAGTTTAGTGTCATGTGGAGCCGTTCTGAAGAGCATTCAGAACATGGAGGCCAATCACTGTCCCACAGACATCCGCCGTTAGATTTTTTTTAAAACAAAGCGGATTGTGCATGATGTCATCCGCGCGAGCCGGCTACTGTTCATTCATCCTGTCCGCTGAACTGCTGCTAGTTTTCTTCACATGCCTGGAAGATGTCTAGTGCTGCTACCACAGATGATCTCGCTCTCCAGATGAACGATTCAGATTAGCTAGAATGAATAGAAGGGGTAGAGCGTAGCCTCCTGTGGCCCGGGCTGCCTGTCACTACTCCAATCCGGCGCACGGATGACCTCATATCATCATCATTGTCATCATTTTTTAGATGTACCTGCAGAGGTATAAATACCTTTTACCAGCTTAAAGATCTGGTGGTGGAGGCGTCCTGGTTTGGACTTGCTCTTCAATCATTAGTACTTTAATCAATACATTAAATTATTGTTTTATTATCTCTTTGCCTCTATTTAAGTTCATAAATAATTTTCCGGTGTTTTCTTGCAGTGGAGAAGCTCTGGCCTTACCCAAAGTTCAGTGTCCCAACCATCCTGATGCCATACTGGTGGAGGACTACAGAGCAGGCGACATGATCTGTCCTGAATGTGGCCTCGTCGTAGGTTCGTCTTTAGTCCACATCTTTCACTCCAAAAAAAAATGCACCTTTTTTTTTATTACTTTATTCCACTTTTAAATCTTATTTTTACAGATTGTCATCAAAATGGAATCCATTTTTTATTAAATGTTAAAAATAAGAAGTTCTAAATTTGTGAATTTGTGAAAGGCTGCTGACCAGATCTGAAACCACATCAGGCTGCAGTCTGCTCTTCTAACCAAAGCTTTTATATCGCTAACAGCTGAGCCGCGTGTGGAAAAGTTATGATTATAACACAGCTGGTTATAAAGGCTGTGATACAAACTCTGAATACTGAGTCACATACGATTAAAATGTGGTTTAAACTGTAAATTTGATATCAACATAAAAAACAAGCCTAGCATGTCAGAAAAAAGCTGCTCGCTCTCATGCATCTAAAATTAATTTGTATTGGAAAATAAAGTAAATAAAGTGAATGTGATTGGTCGATTATCAAGGGGGCGGGATTGTTGTGGCGGAAGGTTTGCAAGCAAGTTTGGTTGTGGCCGGTGTCTCGGAAGCATGTTGCTAACCAGTTAGCAACTTAGTGCTAGCAGGTTCCCAATGGGAAATTCCATTGGGACCAAGTAGCACTAAATTGGTGACTTAGAAACGACGCTGTCAAGGAACGCTATGGACAGCGGAAACATGCAAGAGGAGGAGAGTTTAGGGTCGGAGGTCGTGGATGAGTCTCCTCTGTCATCCATTTTTTATTTAGAGGAGGAAAGCGGGGACGAAGATGTTGTGGAAGAGGACGCCAGGGCGGCAGAAGCTTGGTTTGGTGTAGAAGGCTTCCAGCCGTACATGTTTGAGCCCTTGCCTCGCAACGCTGGCAGTTCTGTTAGCTCTACGCCTGCCGAAGACACAGACGTCCATCCCCGTGAACACTGGGACGCAACTCAATGGGAAAGGAAAGGATTCTGATTTCAACCGTTGCGTATATTAGCTGCGACACATGAAGCAAGATGCTATGACCGAAAAAATACAGCATTGTGCTTAACTGAACTTGTTGCTGATTCCCTGAAGGACGGAGATGATGCGATGGAAGAGGAGGGATGGACTTCACACATTCAACCATCACCTGGTTTAAAATCAAACTTAGTTTTCTTATGACCGTTTCTAGTGGACTGTTTTCTGTTGAAGCTCAGGCACCAGTTGCATGAAATGAAGCCCAGCCCACAGGGCTGAGCCGCTGGGAATGCAGAGTTCTGCTTTAATGAGCTCCCTCTACGGCGAGCAGGTCAGTGGGGAGAAGAGACGCGACGGCGGATCGCTGATGAAAGACTAGCTCCCCCATGTCAAAGAGAAACTGGATTAAAATCAGGCAGAGAGTCATGAGAGGAGAAACCTTCACGTCTTCGGTCACTTTTATTTCCTGGTCGGCTGCATTTCCATATCTGTAGATCATTTCATAAAAGGATTCAATCATTAAAGAGGTGAGGATTAAAACCTAAAGGGATCCAGATGAGCAGGTTAGCATGAGGTAATGTTGGACAGATTATTGCACCATCTTCTGCTTAATTATCCCAGTGGGAACAGGGGGCCCTGTCTGGTTCAGGTGTTTATAGAACCAGCAGTGGAGCCTGAACGCCTCCTTCCTGTCAGACTGGACATCCAGGAAGCGTGAAATGCAATAAAGGGAGGATTTCTTTATTTTCAGCTCACATGAGGGGAATTGTGGTTAAATAAACTGCAGTTTGAGCTTTTTAAGGTTAAAGGATGACGGGATCCTGAGCCGTGAGGTTGGAAAAGGTCCAGATGGGAAACAAAAATATCTTTTACATAATTTCAACATTTCTATATGGACGTTCTTCAAAGAAATGGTTTAATCCACAAAAACACTTAGTTTTATATAACTTTTAGGGGAAGTCGACTGTTTTAACTTTAGTTTTCCATATGGGATTTCCTCAGCATTTAACAGAAAGACCTTTTAAATTTAGTTTATGAAATAATGTCACATCCAAACTAACAGTATCTGTCAGCGGCAATAGTGAGAAATAAATGTGCGACTGTATCCTGGGGTGTTTCGGCGCGGCTGTATCCTGGGGTGTTTCGGCGCGGCTGTATCCTGGGGTGTTTCGGCGCGGCTGTATCCTGGGGTGTTTCGGCGCGGCTGTATCCTGGGGTGTTTCGGCGCGGCTGTATCCTGGGGTGTTTCGGCGCGGCTGTATCCTGGGGTGTTTCGGCGCGGCTGTATCCTGGGGTGTTTCGGCGCGGCTGTATCCTGGGGTGTTTCGGCGCGGCTGTATCCTGGGGTGTTTCGGCGCGGCTGTATCCTGGGGTGTTTCGGCGCGGCTGTATCCTGGGGTGTTTCGGCGCGGCTGTATCCTGGGGTGTTTTGGCGCGGCTGTATCCCGGGTGTTTCGGCGTGGCTGTATCTGGGTTGATTTGGCGCGGCTGTATCCTGGGTGTTTCGGCGCGGCTGTATCCCGGGTGTTTCGGCGTGGCTGTATCTGGGTTGATTTGGCGCGGCTGTATCCCGGGTGTTTCGGCGCGGCTGTATCCCAAGTTGTTTTGGCGTGGCTGTATCCCAAGTTGTTTTGGCGTGGCTGTATCCTGGGTGTTTCGGCGCGGCTGTATCCCGGGTTGTTTCGGCGCGGCTGTATCCCGGGTGTTTCGGCGCGGCTGTATCCCGGGTTGTTTCGGCGCGGCTGTATCCCGGGTGTTTCGGCGTGGCTGTATCCCGGGTTGTTTCGGCGCGGCTGTATCACAGCCGGGTTGTTTCGGCGCGGCTGTATCACAGCCGGGTTGTTTCGGCGCGGCTGTATCCCGGGTTGTTTCGGCGCGGCTGTATCCCGGGTGTTTCGGCGCGGCTGTATCCCGGGTGTTTCGGCGCGGCTGTATCCCGGGTGTTTCGGCGCGGCTGTATCCCGGGTGTTTCGGCGCGGCTGTATCCCGGGTGTTTCGGCGCGGCTGTATCCCGGGTTGTTTCGGCGCGGCTGTATCCCGGGTGTTTCGGCGCGGCTGTATCCCGGGTGTTTCGGCGCGGCTGTATCCCGGGTGTTTCGGCGCGGCTGTATCCCGGGTGTTTCGGCGCGGCTGTATCCCGGGTGTTTCGGCGCGGCTGTATCCCGGGTGTTTCGGCGCGGCTGTATCCCGGGTGTTTCGGCGTGGCTGTATCCCGGGTGTTTCGGCGTGGCTGTATCTGGGTTGATTCGGCGTGGCTGTATCTGGGGTGTTAAACTGATACATTCCAGATTGTTCTACAAGCAGGTCAAGAGGCGGCAGTTAACTTTAATTATTACTTTTTATCGACCTGCAGTTATTATTAAAGAACTATATAAATCAAAACATATTTTCTGCTTAGAACTGTTAGTAGTTTAAAGTATGAATGTTAAATTTTTTTGTAATTGATTAATCATGATTTCAGGCTTAATTGATGCAGAATTGATGGAATTTGAAGTTTCACAAAGTTTTCACAATATAAGAAATAATTTTATCTTCTCCGTACATCTTCATAAACATGTGATTCCAAACATTAGTTTTCTGTATATTTGGCGCCCCCTGGTGGCCACAGCAGGTTCTAGTTTCTGAGCCTGAGCTCAGCCTGAGCTTCTCTCTGTTGAAGTTTCCTGCTGCTGCTTTTCTTTGATAACTGATCGTCTATCTGGACGGGTCAGAACCAGCTTTTAATTAGACTTTTTTTTTTTTTTTTTACCTCTGTGCGGTTGATCTGTCCTCAGGCGACCGGGTGATCGATGTGGGCTCAGAGTGGAGGACGTTTTCTAACGAGAAAGCTCTGAAAGATCCATCCAGAGTGGGAGACGCCCAGAACCCGCTGCTGAACGGAGGAGACCTGACCACCATGATCAGCAAAGGAACGGGCGCGGCCAGCTTCGACGAATTCGGCAACTCCAAGTATCAGAACCGCCGGACCATGAGCAGCTCGGACCGGGCCATGCTGAACGCCTTCAAGGAGATCAGCACCATGGCCGACCGCATCAACCTGCCCAGAAACATCGTCGTACGTTAAGCTGTGGCCTCCTTCTTCCAGACCGATGTTCTGTCAGATGAGCATACCCGTCAGACCAGCATACCCACAGTCAATACCATTTTATCCCTTTAGTTTTGTACAAAAAATAGACTTCAAACTGCCTCAGCGGGCGTGTATCACTTTAGTCATGTACAAAAATCTATTTAATTACTTACTTTTTGGTGTTTTTTGAAGCGTATGGTGATCTAACCTTAAATTGTTTTGGGTTTTTTGTACATTTCCTCGACACGTCTGTCGAGGTAGTTTAAAGTCTATTATTCGTACAAAACTAAAGGGATAGACCTGGGTTTCCGTAGGTCATAAAAAAGTTAATTAAAGTAATTAGTTATTTTTTTAAATTAAGGACTTAATTGACATTAAAATTCATTGAAACGTTTATAAAAACAATTTCATCAGATATAACTGATTCTGCATGGTTGTGCAGAACTGCTTCCTGTTCATTGTAAAGCAGTGTGTTTGGAAAATAAGCTTGAGGCGGATATATATATATATATATATATAAATAAGAGTCATGGGGACTTGATGGCGTTGATGGCATTAAAATGATTTCTAAGAACATTAAATTAGTTATTATTTCCTTTGTAAACTATATAAATGCAGATCTGACGTCTTGCCCATGCGTATTGACTTTAGGTATGCTGGTCTGACAGAACACCAGCAGTGTGATTGTGAACCGTTGCTTCTTTTCTTCTCAGGACAGAACCAACAACCTGTTCAAGCAGGTTTATGAGCAGAAGAGTCTGAAGGGGCGAGCCAACGACGCCATCGCCTCAGCCTGCCTCTACATCGCCTGCAGACAGGAGGGGGTTCCCAGAACCTTCAAAGGTCTGAACACAGAAACACCAGATTATAAAGCAAAAATATTGTTTTTGAGAGGAAAACAACATCTGGATGGTGATTAAAGCAGATCCTGAAACGCCTCCAGAGAAGCCGCCATCTTGTCTTTTTTTTTTTTTTTCTGGCTGTTGAAGGACCAGGACTGTAAACTAAATCCTTTCATTAGTTTGCAGCCGATAAAAAAACATCTGTTAGGGCTGAGAGGAACTGATCTCTCTGCTCTTTCTTCCAGAGATCTGCGCCGTCTCCAGGATCTCCAAGAAGGAGATCGGCAGGTGCTTCAAGCTCATCCTGAAAGCGCTGGAGACCAGCGTGGACCTCATCACCACGGGCGACTTCATGTCCCGCTTCTGCTCCAACCTGGGCTTACCCAAGCAGGTCCAGATGGCGGCGACGTTCATCGCCAGGAAGGCCGTGGAGCTGGACCTGGTTCCGGGCAGGAGCCCCATCTCAGTGGCCGCCGCGGCCATTTACATGGCCTCCCAGGCGTCTGCCGAGAAGAAGACCCAGAAAGGTGAGAGGGCGCTGCTGGGAGAAGCACATGATGATGATGGAACAGAACACCTTTGATGTGCTCTGATTAGAATATGATTTTACATCAATGAAGCGTAATTTGGTTCAAAGATTAAAACCCTCCTCGGTTTATAGTCGACTTCTCAGGTCGGAGCAAAACAACCGGACCTTGAAGCTTCCCTCTAAAAGGAAGCATAGAGGTGGAAAAGCTTCCTGTTTTCAGGAGCTAAAGCCGAACATCCGCTGTACGTTTTTATTTTATTTTTTACCTTTTCGGACCGATTCGGGACGATCCAGTCGTTTGAGAATTCTTCAATCAGCCTGACTTTCAGCCTGATGGTGCATCATGTAGGGTAACGAGAAGCGATCAGCCTCTAACGATCACCCCCCCAATCAGGAATCAGAAGGTCAGGAGAAAATCGAACATGTTTGAAATTCAGTCGGCCGTCGTAAGGTGGTGGTGGGCGAATCCTGCTGCTGGAGCAGAACTACGACACGTTTTACCAGAACTTCGAGCACCGAGCATGAGCAAACAAGGGAGTTCTTCTTCCAGAAAAACGAGTCCGACCAGCGACACAACCGAACCGCTCTAAATCTAGTACTAGTTCATCAGTAGGGCTCAGCGCGGTTCATCTGTGGCGCGGTTCTCCGATGGAAAAGAACGCGCAAGCAGACCGCCTCACCGCCTTACAGTCAGCTGACTCCTTTCAAAGGTTTATATCTGCTCGGGTCCTGCTTCCTGTCAGTGACGTTACTCTACATGACTGGCTGAACGTTGCCACATCATGTAAAACAGTGGTTGCCCAGGCAACGACAATAACATCACACAGCGTCCGTTAGCGCGTCTAATGACCGAAGTTTTACCTGATCGATAACAAAACTGAAATAAATCTGTTAGACCGTGATATAAAGGGCTGGGTAGCGCTGTGGCTAACAGGTTAGCCTCTTTTAGCTCGCTCAGTTAGCCATATTAAGCTACACTACTTTTAACTTTGTGTAATCAACAACCATTCATTTTCTCCAAGTAGAATAACTGTTTTATTTGTCTAAAATCTCTATGAAACTCATTTTTTTAAGATTTTTCATTTGTCCTCCTCTGCCCTCAGATCTTAATAAAAATAGTAAATATAAACTGAGACTTTTAGTGTCTCCTTGTTAAATAGCAGAGCTCAGTCTGTCTTAGAGCAGGACTTTCCTTTCAGACTGAGAATCATTGTTTTCTACTTTCAGTTACTTTAGATACGAGATGAGCTTTAAAATAATATGTTGAGAGTCCAGGAAGAGATAAGATTCTTAAGAAACGTGTGCGATGCAGTTTGTTGCCATATGTCGATGTCATAAGAAGGGGCGGGGCCCCGAGCAGATGTGGTACCTACGGCAGCTTTGTGATTCGCAGATCTCTTTACCTGTTCATACCTCGAATTTCTTCTCAGCTTATGAACAATAAATGGCATCAAAAGAGCGCGAATAAAGTTACTCAAAACCTTTTAATCTATTGTTGCATCTTTTGTTTTTTTGAAAGGCAGCGCTAACTGTTAGCCACCAGTGCAGAGCATGTTCTACATGTTTCTGTTCCAGCGCCTAAACCAGATCAGGGCTCCTCATCTGCAGTCAGGTGCTGCAGAAACCTGTTGATCATCTCTTCTTCTCTGGTGGGAATGATGCAACAAGGAAACACCTTAAACCTGCAGGACAGGCGACCCTGAGGAGCAGCGTTACCCCAAAATCCCACATCCCCCGCCCCGCTCCAGACCGCCGGGGCAAAGCCTACAGCCTCCACTGTTCCTCCCGTCTTGCTCCGCTCAGACTTCCTTTGACTCGAGAACACGTACGATATCATTACATTTATAGGAGCAACATATGCAGAAATTAACGCTTAATTTAATGACATTAAAACAAATCATCAGCCATTTCTGCTCAAATATTTTCTTGTTGTGGATTTATGAAACAGGGAGAACTTTGATCATACAGAATTGGTTTGTTCTCCGTTACCAAACTCAGCATCTCTTCATCCTTATTTTGAAGTTTTCAGATTCGCTCTTGGAGATTTTGACTGAATTTGATGAAACTTAAGCCTCTCGGTATAAAATAATGTTTCTGATGGAGATGAGAAATCTGCTTCCTGGTCTGGTGAAGAACCGATGGTTTGCATCCAATCATTTAATTAAACCGTCTCAGTTTTGGGGAATATATAAGAATTATGCTCTAATTTGTAGTTATCGATCTGTCGTCACTATATTTTAATTTGACAAACCGGATTTTCTCTCCGTTCTTTTTCCTTGTTGTTCTTTTCCTGATTGTTGTGATTGCAAATGCGGATCTGGACCGGAGCTAAAAATACACTCCTGATCAAAATCTTAAGACCAGTCAAAAAATTGCAAGATTTAGCATTTTGCTTCACAATGTTAAAAGAAAAAATCAGTGTAAGAGACAAAAACTTTTGAGCGGGGAATTAATTGAAAACTGCATTTACACTCAAAGATGATTTTTTTCCCAGCTGATCAAAAGTTTAAGACCATAGCTCAAAAAAAAAAAACCCGAAAACCCCCCAAAACAGAAATCAAAGTGTCAAAAAAAGGACTCAGTAATGAGCAGCTCCACCGTTCTTGTTAATGACTTCAGTCGTTTAGGCATGCTGGATGCCAGTGTTTCCAGGAGGCTGGTGGGAACGTTGCTCCAAGTGTTGAAGATGGCTTCATGAAGGGCATCCACAGTCTGGAACTGATGTCCATTTTTGTAAACTTCCCTCGCCATCCATCCCCAAATGTTCTCAATAAGGTTTAGATCGGGGGAACATGCAGGATGGTCCAAACGAGAGGTGTTATTCTCTTGGAAGAACTCCTTTGTCAGGCAGGCGTTGTGCAGGCGAACTGCAGCAGTACCAGCCAGACGAGGGCCCTCAGTCATGGGGCCAATAGTGCAAAATGCAAATTCTTGCCATTTTTTGACTGGTCTTAAGATTTTGATCAGGAGTGTAGCTGTGCTCCATATTTTGCTGTAGGTAGATGGTGAAGTTTGAAGGATTGGCGGCGGATGTGGAACAGTGCTCATTGGTTAACATGACAGACAAGTCCTCCGCATGACGTAGGTGGGCGGGGCGGAGACGGAGGATGTGGAATCTGGGGGTTATTGCTCCTGGTCTGCAGAAACCTGTTGATCATCACCTGAATGATGCAAAAAGGAAACACCTTAAACCTGCAGGACAGGCGTCCATGAGGAACCAAACCTGTAGCGTAAAAAGTCTCCCTCTGCGGTTTTGGATCCTGTCCGCTCTGTAAACTCTCTGTCCTTCTTCCCCAGAAATTGGCGACATCGCCGGCGTCGCCGACGTCACCATCAGACAGTCCTACAGACTCATCTATCCGCGCGCAGCAGAACTTTTCCCTCCGGACTTCAAGTTCGACACGCCTGTGGACAAACTGCCTCAGCTGTGAAGCAGCCTCCGCCTCCTTTTCCTCTGCTGTTCCGTTTTTACGTTGGTTTACGATGCAAACCCGTTTGTTTTGGTCAGATGAAGCCTTTCTGGAGGCGGACAGGGACACAGCAAACATTCCAGGGCTTAAACGAACCGCCTGTACTTTGCAGTATTTCATTTGACTGTATATATACACTCTACCATGTATATATGTCCAAGTGGGAGGATTAAAAAAATGTGACGCTTGCAGTTTTAGGCTTTTTTTCATACTGAGCACTTCGTTTTGTAGAACATTTGCCAGGTTCTATTTTGTTTGAAATGTCTCAAGTAATTTAAGAATAGAAGATTTTCAATTTGTGGTTTGTTCTACAAAAATAAAACAGTTTAGAAGATATAATTAACCGTCTGGATTACTCAGCTCAGCAGTGAAACAAACCAACATTACAAACGTTTAATCTGTAACAGCGACTGCAGAGACGTCCTGAACATTTTACACCAGGATGAATGAAAACATGTGATTCGGGTCGTTGGTACCGTCCGTACAGTCCGACAGCGGTTCTGGAAACATGCACATTAAAAAAAAAACACTTTTTACAATCTATGTTCATAATTAAGAAATGTAGATAAACTATTGATCAAATTAGTGCTTTCAGTTTACCTGTTTACATACAGTATGCGTGTAAAATATACCCCCCCCCCCCCCGTAGTGATTCATACGCAGGTTGAAACATGCAAACTGCTGGAAAAACAAAAAAACAGATTTCTGTAGGAAGCACTGGATTTAAAATAAACTAGATGTAGTGTCGTCTGATAAAAGTGTAAATGCGCAGGTTTGGTGTGCGCTGAGGTATCATTAGGAATTATAGAAACCAAACTTTTAATTTAACTGTGCTGCCCTCTAGTGGCTGCAGAGTGCAACGCTTTCCTCCAAAGCAGAAATTTGATCCAATATTATTGAAAGAAAATTTCATTAATGGAAATTTGAAAATTTTTATGAGTAATTTATAGTTTAATCAGAAGTTGGGTTAATATTTTTACCGTTTTTGTTTCTTTTTGGAGGGGAAGGTTTGGTTGGGCTCTACGGTTTCTGGTTGATCTGTGTGGACCAATAGGAATGAGTCTGCTCTGCTCTATTGGTCCATGAAACACCCAGAAATGTAATGGGTGAAGAATAAAAAAAACAAGATTAAAATCTCCCCGAAGGGAAAATAAAATCTATAAAATTCAACTGTAAAACGTTTTAACCAAAACTTTTTTTTTATTTGTTTTTTGCTTCTAATATTGGAACAAATTTCTCCCCATACATGGAGGTTTCTGGGGGAAGTGTTTTGAACGGGCTCGCATATTTCTTCGTTTGATAAAAGTGTAAATGCGCAGGTTTGGTGTGCACTGAGGTATCATTAGGAATTATAGAAACAAAACTTTTAATTTAACTGTGCTGCCCTCTAGTGGCTGCAGAATTCAACGCTTTCCTCCAGAGAAATTTGATTCAATATTATTGAAAGAAAATTTCATTAATAGAAATTTGAAGAAACAATTTTGAGTAATTTAGAAGCTGGATTAACATTATAGTTTTTCGTTTCTTTTTGGAGGGGAAGGTTTGGTTGGGCTCTACGGTTTCTGGTTGATCTGTGTGGACCAATAGGAATGAGTCTGCTCTGCTCTATTGGTCCATGAAACACCCAGAAATGTAATGGGTGAAGAATTAAAAAAAAAGATTCAAATCTCCCTGAAAGAAAAACTAAAAAAGATTTTTTGGAGGGGGAAATAAAATCACTAAAATTCAACTGTAAAACGTTTTAACCAAAACTTTTTTTTTATGCTTCTAACAATTTTGGAACAAATTTCTCCCCATACATGGAGGTTTCTAAGGGAAGTGTTTTGAACGGGCTCGCATATTTCTTCGTTTGATAAAAGTGTAAATGCGCAGGTTTGGTGCGCACTGAGGTATCATTAGGAATTATAGAAACCAAACTTTTAATTGAACTGTGCTGCCCTCTAGTGGCTGCAGAGTTCAACGCTTTCCTCCAAAGCGTTTTTGGAGAAAAGAGAAATTTGATTCAATATTATCGAAAGAAAATGTCATTAATGGAAATTTGAAGAAACAATTTTGAGTAATTTAGAAGCTGGATTAACGTTATAGTTTTTTGTTTCTTTTTGGAGGGGAAGGTTTGGTTGGACTCTACGGTTTCTGGTTGATCTGTGTGGACCAATAGGAATGAGTCTGCTCTGCTCTATTGGTCTATGAAACACAAGATAAGAAAAAATAAGATTTAAATCTCCTTGAAAGAAAAACTAAAAAAGATTTTTTGGAGGGGGAAATAAAATCTATAACATTCAACTAAAACGTTTTAACCAAAACTGTTTTTTTTTTTTTTTGCTTCTAACAATATTGGAACAAATTTCTCCCCATACATGGAGGTTTCGGGGGGAAATGTTTTGAACGGGCTCGCATATTTCTTCGTTTTTCAAGTGAGGAAGCAGCCGTAGTAGTCAAGATGTCTGCTGTAGCCGAACCGACCGGAGAAGAAGGTAACACTCGACACCAGATTCAGATATGATCCATGCTAAGGGCTTTACATAAAATAGAACATCAAATATGTGACTGAATATCTGTACAGGATAAAAATAAAAAAGACAGCCACACTGCATATTGTGATTGTACTGGAGCCGCCTTCTCAGTCTATTTGTAAAACATTCTCAGTGGTCAGTCAACGGACACGGCAACGATCTGTGCAGGAAGCTTCCATCCAACCACATTCTTTTAGATTTTTTTAAAAAGATCTCACAGATTAAAAAAGCAACAGGTCCGAGTAGATGACGTGGTCAATGGCACAGTTTGGAGGCTCAGGGACCAATGAGCTTCGTTCTCTCATCATGTCGGGCAGGAAACCGTCACCGCCGGGCTGCTCGGTTCACAGTGAGTCTCTGATGACGATGGGCGGAGCTAACACCAGTCAGCGATGTAGTCAAAGTCAGAAAACAGGTTCTGCTCCTCTGAGCTCAGGTGTCGAGGTTCTCTGGGGGGGGTTAAAATCGGAGCCTCTGAGGTAAATTCGTCATCGAAGTTGCTGACGTCGTTGGCGCCCTGGATGGTCGGCACGAACGGCGGCTTCACCTTCTTGGCCAGCAGCCCCTCCCAGTCCACGTTCTGTGGGTGCAGACGGCGGCCGTTAGCTTCCCGTTTCATTAGACGTTAACTAAAAATAATGTTTTCCTTTTTTCTCGTCTCTTACCCTGAAGAATAGATGTTTCTTCACTTCGTCTGCGTCTCTCTCTCCTGCTCCCAGGCGGCGCTCCGGGCTCCTCCTCAGCAGCTAAGAACATTTATAAAAACAGAAACTTTATTCGCTTCTGTCGGTGGCCACTAGAGGGCGCATTTCCCCCACAGAGGATTTACATCCAGAGAAACATTTTTAATTTCATAAATTAAACAAGTTTAGACAGAAGAAAAAACTCAGAACCAGTAGCTCAAAAAAAATGAAACTAAAATCAGATAACTTCTAGTTTAACCTTTTATAGCTCACTCCGTGAAACCAATAGTGTTACTGAAATCCAGTACAAGACTTTATTACCTTTAACATTCAAAAAATATGGATATTGTGATGGTAAAAATGAATGTTAATGTAACAAGAAACGCCCGTATATATTAAGCAAAATAACAAAAGTGCTTTGATAAAAAATTCATGAATAAACCTGCTGAGTGCCTTCATGATACTGACACATTTTTAGTTTCTAAACCTAAATATTATTGTTAACGAGGCTTATTAACTTTTCACCTTTTTTCCAAATTAATTTCCAGCAGGTTATATAACTTGTAGTGTAACTTGATTTATAAACAGAATCAACAGCATGTTTTTAAACATATAATAGAGCCTTTATTGATTTTGAGATAAATGTTGATTTAAGATGATTAAGTTTAGATAATGTAGTACCGGCTGTACTTAACGTTTTATTTATTTTGTATATATACCTAGATACTGATATAGGAACAAAACGAAGGGATTTTATTTTATTTTATTGAGTTTTTAAGGCACTAGTGGCTCGTTTTTTTTTACTGGAAAGAGGGAATGAGAGAGAGGGAGAGACATGCGGCATTACAGGCCGGATTCGAACCCGGGTCAGACATGTCGAGGACTAAAGGGCTGGTTATCCGCAAACCCAGCGCGTCGCAGGTATGACGCCGATATTTTTTATTTATGCCCAATATTGAAGCGTGGTCTGCGCTACGTGATTCCACGCCACAACGCCAGAGGGCCAATCAGGAACTAGCTCTGGGTCTAGATACGGCCGAGGCAGTGAGGAAGCGGAGGCAAACGGAGGGACATGAGGGCCAAAAAGAGCGGAGATCCAGGAGGAAAAAGGGTCCCAGCGTTCTCGCGCACCTCGCTCTTCCAGCTGCTACATCTTTATCAGTCGTTTTCCACAATGGCGGTCAGACAAACAAAACAAGCCGGTAAGGAACCAAACAGGAAATACGCATAGAGTAGAGGGGATGGAGAATTGACCAATCAGAGGCCTCCTGTCTGCGTTCACTGCGACACACGCAGACGTCCTGGTTTCTGAGTATGAACCAGCGTTAAGGCGTCCTTAAATGGGTGGTGTTCACTAGTGACCGCACACCGAAGCACGTTTCTGATTAAATGAAGTTACAAACATGGCCGCCCACCGACAGTCTGGCTTCAGAAACAATTCTTCCTTTTTAAACTTTTTCCCAGAAACATTCACTAAGTTTGGTTTAATGTTTCACAGCAAACTGCATGTTTAACACTAGAACTCCCAATGAACGCCAGCAGTGATGATGTCATCAACTGAAAGGGTTCTACTGTAAACCTTAAAACAGGTCTAATATATATTTTAAAGGCTGTAGGCTATTATTATTATTTATGGTCTAAATAAGTGAACAAAAGATTCACTATCGTCTGATTGGTCACTGATCCGATCATCATCCATCTCTCCGTCTCCGCCTGAATCGCTACCATCGATATGTTGAAGCATTTCTAAGATCGAGGTCAAATGAACCATAATCTATTGTTTATGTTTTTATTTTGTTAAGAACATAAACTGTGAAAATGAAGGAAATATAGAAACAGGAAAGTCAGCTAACATGAGCAACATATGATTAATGTAAATAAAGTTGTTTCCCTTTACGATCTAAGAACGGTCTAAATGATGGCGTTAGGAGTTCTAGTGTAAACACGGTGGAGGCAGCAGCATGCTGCGGGAGACAAGAGGCAGAAAGAGTTCTGCTACCCACCCTCCTCATGATGGAGATGGCCTCAGTGGAAAGGAAGCGCGGGTAGCGAACTTCGTCGTTGACGATGCTGTCAAACACTTCCTCCTCGTCGTCGCCGGGAAACGGCGACTGGAAGGAAAAAAAAAAAAAAAAAAAACAGTAAAATGGGTGTTTACTGGGAAGTCAGAGGAGTCTGCTGGGAGTCAGCGGCTCACCTCCCCAACCAGCATCTCAAAGATGAGGACGCCCAGCCCCCACCAGTCCACGGCGCGGGTGTACGACGTCTCCGTTAAAACCTCTGGCGCCAGGAACTCAGGCGTGCCGCAGAACGTGCTGGTGCGATCCCTGAAACCCATTCCTGAAAGCAGAGAACGGCGGCTCAGCAGATCGAAGCGGGAGAAAATCTACCGAAGCGTCCAGAGTTCACTCTACCTTCTTTGCAGAGGCCGAAGTCAGCGATCTTGACGTATCCCTCCGTGTCCAGGAGCAGATTGTCCAGCTTCAGATCCCTGATGGTCACATTAGGTTCGTTTACATCAACACATTTTTATCTCCCTGTTCTACAGACCAGAGCTACGGAAACCTAACAGGGCCAAAATAAGGAAACAGCCCCGGATTAAAGACAGGGAGGGAGGAGGAAGAATAAAAGATAGAAAGGAAAGAAGGAAGGAAGACAAGAAGGAAACGTAGGAAAAAAATTACAAAGGAAGGCAGGAAACACCTGGATAGATAGGAAGGAAGGAAGGAAGGAAGGAAGGAAGGAAGGAAGGAACGAAGGAAGGAAGGAAGGAAGGAAGGAAGGAAGGAAGGAAGGAAGGAAGGAAGGAAGGAAGGAAGGAAGGAAGTATGGATGGAAGACCAGAAAGAAGAAATGGGAGGAAGAAAGGGGGTAAGGAAGAAAGGACATGAAAGATGGAAGGAGGAAAGGAACCACAGAAGGACGGAAGAATAAAACATTTAAACCACAAACTAAGTATTTTAATTCTAAACTTTTACAGATGTTGAAAAATCAAAAATTAAATCCCGTAAAACGGATGGTAATCTGAAGGACGGTAAAGCGGGGCTTACACTGAGATTATTTTAATCTTTGCACGCACCTACAGCTCACACCGTGCGACCCGACGCTCTGATGCGATCTACCTGCTCACACTGTACGTCTAAAAACCAGGTGGGTCCACCATGTTCCTGATGTCTGCGGCGGAAACGCCTTCATTCTGTTTAACTCTTATTCTCACATCTGAAAACTTTGCCTTTTCTATTTTAGAGCCTGACAAAGACACGGCCATCTCTGCAGTTGATTTCATCATTTCATTTCATCAGTCTCTTGCTCTTTGTCCTTCTTTCAGGAAATGTTTGCCTTGTCTTTACAGACACTGCCCCCTATTGGTGGCCCTGGGAAACACGCTTTAATCAGCTGTGAGAGCAGGACTCCCGGTATCTCCCAGGTCTCCTCGCTCCTTCAGTGACACGGAATTCAGTTCTCACATGAAAAAATTATTATTTGCACAAAGAAAATATTTTCTTTCAATTATTTATAAAGAATAGATTGGAAAATGAGCATTTGTCTGCAAAAATTAATGGTAAGAATTTGACGCTGAAGGACACTGAAGACGGGCATAAACTGCGATTTTTTTAATCATTTTACGCAGCTACAGCTCAAACTGTACGATGAAACTGCAGGGTTTAAAAGTTCTCAGCTCACGATGTTTGTTCCCACACTGTGCAACCCGACTCGATGCGATCTACCTGCTCTCACTGTACGTCTAAAAACCAGGTGGGACTCAGCTCCGCAGTGAGATGGCTCTACTGGGACTCGTCTATCCAGAAGCCGGGGAATAGACCGGCACTACTGGGCAATTTAGTGCTGAAAGCCCTAAAAAGTAAAGGAGACGACGTATTTGGACAAAGACATGGCTGAGCTAATGTGGCTACTACGGTCTGTCAGTTTGACAGAAAGAACTCCATTTCACTCATTGCAAATATCGACCTGATCTGAAAATTCTTGCACGACTGGAAAGTTGCCCAAAAAAGGGCAAAAAAAATGCACAATATACGTCCGGCTTAATCTGAAGGACAGTAATCTGAAGGACGGTAATCTGAAGGACGGTAATCTAAAGGACGGTAATCTAAAGGACGGTAATCTAAAGGACGGTAATCTGAAGGACGGTAATCTGAAGGACGGTAATCTGAAGGACGGTAATCTGAAGGACGGTAATCTGAAGGACGGTAATCTAAAGGACGGTAATCTAAAGGACGGTAATCTGAAGGACGGTAATCTGAAGGACGGTAATCTGAAGGACGGTAATCTGAAGGACGGTAATCTGAAGGACGGTAATCTGAAGGACGGTAATCTAAAGGACGGTAATCTAAAGGACGGTAATCTGAAGGACCGTAATCTAAAGGACGGTAATCTGAAGGACCGTAATCTAAAGGACGGTAATCTGAAGGACGGTAATCTGAAGGACCGTAATCTAAAGGACGGTAATCTAAAGGACGGTAATCTGAAGGACCGTAATCTAAAGGACGGTAATCTGAAGGACCGTAATCTAAAGGACGGTAATCTGAAGGACCGTAATCTAAAGGACGGTAATCTGAAGGACCGTAATCTAAAGGACGGTAATCTGAAGGACCGTAATCTAAAGGACGGTAATCTGAAGGACGGTAATCTGAAGGACCGTAATCTGAAGGACCTACCTGTACACAATCTTGTTGTCGTGTAAAAACTGTAATCCCAAAACAACACAAGCGGCATAAAACCTGGAAGAGAGCAGAGCAGCAGAGGTCAGAGGTCACAGCCGCAGCTGAGGCGGCGATCGGCCAGAGGCCGGGGTCACTCACACGGCGCGGGGCTCGGAGAACACGTCGGCGTGGATGTGCATCATCAGGTCGCCTCCCGCCGCGTACTCCATGACGAAGCACACATGTTCCGACGTCTGGAAGCAGGCGAACAGGTTGACCAGGAACGGGTGGCGGACGCTGTTCACCGTCTCAAAGATCCTCTTCTCACACATCAGACTGAGGCGGGATAGAGAGAGACCGTTAGACATGGCGCTCTGCGCAGGGCGTCATGATGGAGGGACGCCCTGTCACTTCTTCACCTCATAGGTTCTAGAGCAGTTAAACAATCCTAAACATCAGGACTGATAGAGTGACGAATCATTGACTTAATGTGTAAAAAGACGTCGCAGGTAAAGCAGATCCCCCCCCCCCCCCGCCGCAGACAGGAGGACCTGTTTTAAGGTTTACAGTAGAACCCTTTCAGTTGATGACATCATCACTGCTGGCGTTCATTGGGAGTTCTAGTGTTAAACATGCAGTTTGCTGTGAAACATTAAACCAAACTTAGTGAATGTTTCTGGGAAAAAGTTTAAAAAGGAAGAATTGTTTCTGAAGCCAGACTGTAGGTGGGCGGCCATGTTTGTTTGGGGTTTTATTTAGGAGCATCAGATAAGATCACAGAAACGTTGTGATGTTCTGTCAGTGTTTGTGACGTCACGTTCATTTCCATCCTGTTCACAGGATGGCTAACTTCGCTGGGACCCTTTTTCTTTTTGGCCCTCATGTCCCTCCGTTGTCGCACAAACTTCCCCCCACTTCCTCGGCCGTATCTAGACCCACAGCTAGCTCCTGATTGGCCCTCTGGCGTTGTGGCGTGGAATAACATTGCGCAGACCACGCTTCAATATTGGGCAGAAATCTGAAATATCTGCGTCATACTGCTGCAGGACGATAACCCGCCTTTAAGGTACCTTCACACTGAATACGGTCAGTTTTCCACCTGCTGTTGCCCACTTAGCCTTCGTGTCAGTATGGCAAGCCATTTAAATATTTATTCAGTTAATTTAACTATCTGAAAGTTCCCTCATATCCAAACAGTTACTCTGACTCACCAGAACTGCAGTTATACATATATCTAATTTAGTTTCAGGCTTCCTACAGCATAAGGAAAGTTAAATTCAAGACTTTTAAAGACTTTTTAATGCCATTTGAAATAAAAATTTAAGACCAAATTCACAAGAAACACGAGAAAAACCTGCTTGCTCCAACTTAACCCGAAGGTTTATTTTAACATAAACCACTGCACTAATGTTTCAAATGTTGAAAAGCTTCCGCTTCCCATACAGGAAGAAAGTTAAAAACACACAAATGACAGATATATTTGAACAATTATTTAACTGAATTCACAAACGTTGTTTTAGCAGGGAACAAAACAAATGAGTTTTAAAGCCCCAACATAACCAGTGCTAAGTCTTTTTAGCAGCTATTTTTCTTTGTATGGTTTTCTTAGTATATTTGATTTGGTGATAAGTGGAGGCGTTGCAGAGACAAGGGTGGAACTAAACTGAGAAATACCGGCTGTTTCTCTGTAACTCCATTTTGACGCTTTGTGTTTCGTGCTTCGCATGTGCGACTCCACTGCCTTAATTCCCATCGTTCTGAGCTTGAATGACTTCTTGCACTAAATCCACTAAGCCTCATGTATGTTCCCTGGTTTTAGCCATGGAGAAAACTCTTGGCTGGAGACAATTTTGGTTACATTTAGGGCTGCAACAACGAATCGATAAAATCGATAAAAATCGACTTTTAAAAGCGGTGGCAACGAATTTCATCATCGATTAGTTGTGTCGCGCGATTATTGCGTCATCTGCCGCGCCGTCATCACTGCCTCTTGACTGAAAGAGGAAGAAAAAAAAATACGGCAGAGCGAGTCAGCGCCGCAGGTGCAGTGTTGCCAACTCCGCGACTTTTCAGACCTCTCCAGCGACAATTTTTCAAAAAAGCGACTAGCGACAAATCTGGCGACTTTTTTCGGTGTCACTGGCGGCTTTTGGAGACTCTTACGTGAAAGCATGCATCGTTCCTACTCTGCCGTGGGGCGCCTCCCCCACCCCAACCGCGTTTTCCCGCAGGAGTCCCTCTCAGTCAGAGCCTCAGCGTCCAGACTGCAAATGAAGCGCGCATGCACCGGGATTGACGGCGCAAATTGATCACAATAATTAAAATAGCCTGCGCTTTGTAAAGCGAAAAAAGTGATAACATGCAACTTTTTTCAAAAGAAATTAACATGGCACGGAACCACCATGTTTGTTTGGTTTTAAAGTGGGGAAACGTAACGTTAGTTTCTCAGGTAGCTCATCTGATGCTTTCCTTACCGTGTTAGTAGGTTACAGACAGTGATAAGGTTGGCTACTTATTTTACTTTTAATTTCATTTGAATTAGCTTAAGCAGCGTTTATATTTACTTTATAAATAAATTAACTTGCAAATAATGAGGGCAAGGCTTTTAAAGTTTAAATCTTCTGGCAAAGATAAAGTAAAGATGATCCTGCAATTTATGGGAGTAAAGCAGAATAAAATCCAGCAAGATCAGTAATATGTCAATTAATTATCTGCCACATTCCCATGTAAATATCTGTCTTTGGAGGATGTGTTTTTTAGCACCCCTAGTTCTCTCATTTTTATTCCAAATACAATTTATAATTTGAATCACAGGGCTATTTTTATCTCTATGGTTCAGTATTTTCTCAAGTAGCAACTTTAACTGCTATACTTTCCTGTCTTAAAAGGCAGAACTCTTCTAATCTAAAAAAACTCATTTGTTGAAATGGGGGGGCCTATTGTTTGAACCCCTTAGAGGCTTTTAAAAACAAAAATGTCTTTTTTTGCGCTTTATGAAACAAAGTAGCCTATATTTTGTGGATGTACAGCTACATTTCTCATGTAAGTTTGCGTAGTTTTAACACAAACATTTATTTTTCATATTGCACCAGGACAGTTAATGAGCAACCTGTACTTGTGTGCTTGTTTGTTCTGTCTATAATGTTTATTTTGGAATAAAGAGGTTAATATAAAAAATATTTTTTGTCCGATTCATCGATTAATCGAAAAAATAATCGTCCGATTCATCGATTTTTAAAATAATCGTTAGTTGCAGCCCTAGTTACATTTACACTTGCTCAGATTTTCCAGACAAAAAGTTAAAGGAGCATCTCCCAAATGTCCCCCCCGCAACAACGCTTTATTGGTTCCGCTATCGGGACGGAACCCATAATGGCGAGCCGTTATTTAAAAAAACAACAACATTTTATTCAGATTACAAAAATACATCATAATAAAAATAATCCTATTTATGATGTTTTAAAAAAGACTGATTTAAGACATTTTATTACCAATTAAGGCCTTAGTTTTATTTTGAAGAATTCAATGCCTTTTAAGACTTTTTAAGGACCTGCAGGAACCCTGAGTTTTGACCAATTTATGTTATATAGTGTTTATATCATAAATCCCAACCATAAACACATTTATTTCTGATGGGAACATATGGGAGGGAAATGTGGGTTTTTAAAGCTGAAGTCAGTTAGCTTCTGAAGGCTCTGCTGATGGTTATGAGCATAAAGTTTCTCAGATAAGAAAGCAGCTGGACTGATCTAACATTTAATAAATATAATAT